GCTGATACATTTTGAATCAGTGTGCTTGCTGATACATTTTGAATCCATCAAGTGTGTATAATGTTTGATGCATTGATACATTTTGAATCCATCAAGTGTGCTTGCTGATACATTTTGAATCAGTGTGTATAGTGTTTTAGACGATGCATTGATACATGAATTTGTTGTGTATCATAATGTTTTCTATGTATCATGAGGTTTTGAAAATTGTTATAATGTATCATTCAATAAGTTTAATAATTGTGTCATCAACTGTGCTTGATGATACATATAGAATCAGTGTGTATAGTGTTTAGTCGATGCACTGATACATGTATTAGATATGTATCACATGTTTTTCATGTAGTATGAATTTCTGAAAACTGATATCATGTATCAGTAAGGTATTAGTTGTCTATTTAGTATTAGTTGTTTTATTTAGTATTTATATTTCAATATCGTTATAATTTGTTGTTGTTTTTTTTCAAATTGCAGCCACTGAAGTACAAGATAAAAAAGATACCAACACATCCCATAAGGTTTGATGTCAATTTTAACAACAATTTCCTAAAGGACTTTGAAAAATACATAGGGGAGAATGTTATCCAAATGTTTAAGGATACAATTTTTGGACCCTTTTTAGACATTTCTAAATGTAATTTTCAGGGCCAAATAACTAAGTGCTTATTGCTTTTAGAGTTGGAACAAGCAACCCTAATGTGTTGCATATTAGACATTCAAACGGGTGAGTCCTAAAATTTTGGTATAGATGAATTTGCATTATTAACAGGACTTAAGGTCAGAGGAAATACCAATGATTTCAAATACCCAGAACCAACTAACTGTATGCTTTTCCAAAAGTGTTTTCCTAGTGCAGTCGATAGTGTTACCAAGCATCAACTAGTTCAACGGTTTAAGATGGGTGATTGGAAGAACAATCAGGATGCACTCCAAATGTCTATATTGTTCTTTATTCATACATTTGTATTAGCTACTCTTGATAATACAACTATATCTATTGTGGACTTTCTATGGTAGATATCAACATTTTCCTTGGGGTCAACTATCATTTTCAAAACTAATTGGTTCACTTAGACAAGATTTTGATGTTAGTAAAAAGTTGTATCGATTATATGGGATGCCCTATGCGCTTAACGTTTGGATATACGAATGTGCATCTAATTTAAATTCTAAAATAGCTGTGAAAGAACGAAATGTCATCCCAAGAATGTGCAATTGGAGAGTTGTGTCTGATAAGGCAAAGTTTGAAATGCTTATGTCTACCATTTTCCAAGAGGTAAAATTTTATTTTTGTCTATGGAATATCGTTATTTATGTCTTGTGATACATTGTGAAATGTTATTGTATTAAAAGTTAAATTATCTTATGTGTTGTGACACATTCAGAATGCATGTTCAAACATTGTCCCAACAGCAGAGGAAATTGAAGCTTTTGACCTTGCTCAAGTTGAACATGTTCATTCTTCATCATTACCATTAGTACAACAAATGAGGAAGATGATTTTGATAATTTCTCCACAAAACCTCCTGAATAGTTATTGAGGACATATTCTAGAGTGTCTGATACATCTCCTCCACCACCGCCAAAAAGAAGAAAAAAAGTGAATATACAAAAAAAGAAAGTGTCAGAACAGAACCAGCCTGATCAATCATATGTGTCTCCGACACCGGATGATGATGTACATGTTTCCATGTCAAATCTGCCTCCAAATTCGATTGTTGATGATGTACATGGTTCTGTTCCAGACGTGTCACCGAAATCGGCTGCTGATGTACATGGTTCTGTTCCAGACGTGTCTCCGAACCCGTCTGCTGATGTTCATAGGTCTGCAGATTCTCAGATTGAAGAGTTGAAACGAAATTTGAAAACTTACGTAAGTAAATTATTTTGATATTTTTAAACAAATTTTTTTAACCTAAATGTATCTACAATTTGTAGGTTGACAACAAATTTGAGGAACTGATTATATTGATAAAAGCAAATCACTCCCAGTTGATGCAATCTATAGGCAAGGAAAACATCAATTTTCAGGCTAATACAAGCACATTTCAATCTGACAAACAAACATCTCAGCAAATACCAATTGATCTTTCTGATATGGGTGGTGTAGCTGAGGATAGTGTTGGTTTTTCTGGTGAAAATGGTGAACATCAAATCGTCGATGATGCAGGGGATGTCGCTGAGGATGGTGTTGGTGTTTCTGTAAATGAGGGTGAACAACTAGTCAGTGATACTCCAAAGGTAATGTTTATGATACATTGGACACTTTATTTTTCCATTTTAATGTATGTCGTGTATCATGCACATATAGTCAATGTTATGTATCATGCGAGCATAATCACTGTTACGTATCAGCACAAATTATATTAACAATTTTTATTTCAAAACTACATATTCAGGATGGTGACGCACATCCCCTGCACCAAGATTTAAATAAACATATCATGGACACTTTCTTTTTCATTTTAATTGTTGTCATGTATCATGCACATTTACTCAAGACTATGTATCATGTGATTATAATCAATGTTACGTATCAGCACAAATTATATTAACAATTTTTATTTCAAAACTGCATATTAAGGATGGTGACGCACATCAGTCGCACCAAGATTTAAATGAACATATCATGGAGCAAGATGTTGATGACAATGTTCAACACAACATCCCTCATGTTTTGCCCGAAAAAACAACAATGAATGCATCGGTAGATTTTTCAATTTTGATTTATGACACACAATTTCATTACACATAAAATTTATTTTAAAAATCATTACATCATATTATACAGGAATCTTCCACTTCAACAACAATATCGCCATCAACTCAAGCAGCAATAGATGCGCTTATCAAAGATTTGGGTAAAGATCCTACTAATGCTAGACCATTATATTCTTACAATCCACAGAATATAACTAGAAGTCAGTACTTGTTGACCGACAGTCAATTACCCACTGATATCCAATAACTGAGATTAGTGTTAGAACCGAT